TGAGCCGCGCGCGTGTGCCCACAGATGCTCCCACTGGGCTGCCTGCATGGCGGTCTGGGGAGCCTGGGAGAGGGCTCGGTAAGGCCGAGCGGTGGGGCGGCGGGAGCGGGCCCCGCGCACGGCTCCTGCTACGCCGATTCCTCAACTCGGCTCCAGCCCGCTGCTTCCGAGGCACGTGCGGCTGGAAATTGTCCGGGCGGCTTCTCTCGTCCGACTCTAATTCCAGGGCCGGGAGGAGGGCTTCCAGATTCCAGAGCTGGTGGCTCTCAGGGCTCGAGCGCCCAGCAGAGAGGAGCTGGCCGGGGAGTCCTGGCAGGGCCCGGCCTTCGCCTTGAGCTAGGGCTCCTCTCAGAAAGCACCTGGGGAGCTGGGCGCCCTTCCCACCCCCACGTCCCCGCATCCCTCTGTCCCTCCGTGAGGTACGCCGCTTGCTGAGGGGGACACCTGGGGCCTGCGGGGTCTGTGCTGTCGCCCCAGGAAGGGGTGCGAGTGTCTTCCGGGGCCACTCAGGCTGCATCCCTGGGCCTTTCCCAGGAGGAGCGGACTCTGCCCTGGGGCTCTCAGTCAGGCCGGGGCTCCTGGGCGCCCACGTCAAGGCAGCCCGTGCGGGTCTCTGGGCTGTGCTGGACGCAGCGCAGGACGGGGCTGCTCCGGAGCATGGGCCCTGGCTACGGCTCTGGCTAAACTGTCACGGTTCAGGCCTCAGAGTGGGGCACCTGCTCCCGGGGCCCTGTGCTGTGTCCACAGGGGACATGGGCTTGGGGTGTGGCCGGTCACTCACAGCCCTCAGGGTCCAGCCCAGGGACAGGCCGGGAAGCAGGGGTGACAACACGTTCTGTCCCCCAGTGGGCTGCAACATCTGCCACTTGCATCTGCCTGAGCGTGGCCCTGGTGTCGCGGCTCCTCCAGGACCTTCCTTCTCCCACCACTGTCCTCTGGCAGCCCTGGCCAGCGGAGGGAGTCCACGCGGCCCTGCTGTGGGCAGGTGTCCCTGCGGGCTGACCAGGCGCCGGACGTGAGGATGTGGGAGGGCTGCCCAGGAGGGCCATGGGGGGTCCCAGGCCGCGCTGGGCCGGTGGCTGCCCACACTCTCAGCCCCGCCCGGCCTCTGCTCACTGCCTGGGCCTGTGGGCAGGGCTGGGTAGCGGCTATGCGTGGGTCCTTGGCCTGCAAGGCCTGGGGCAGTGGGCAGCTCCAGTCACCTGCCGACGCAGCAGTGAGGGTGGGGCGCAGGGTTCCTGGGAGTGAGGCACACGCGTCCCCACGTGTGTGACACTGACAGCGTGGTGCCAGGCGGTGACAGCACCACGGAGCGCGGGGAGCCCTGAGCTGGAGCACCCCTGCCACTGTGGGGACACACCGCTGGCGTCGGCGCCCCCATGAGCCGGCGGAGCAGCGCAGGGGTGGGGCGACTCGGGAGCTTCTGCTGGCTCAGGGCCCATGTCCCTCCCCGCCCCTCCCGCTGTCCAGAGGCCTTCCCCTTCTCCGGGGAGGAGGACGTGAGCGACCCCGAGGCCCTGCGGCCCCTGCTCGCCTTGCAGTGGAAGAACCGGGCGGCCAGCTTCCAGGCCGAGCGCAAGTCCAACGCGGCGGCCGCCCTGACCGAGCCCTACTGCGCCGTCTGCAGCCTCTTCTACCCCTACAGCCAGGTGCGCCCTGCCCGCTCGGGAGGCCCGGGGCTCCGAGGGC